CTTGGCCTCCCCTTGGCCTCCCCTTGGCCCCCCCTTGGCCTCCCCTTGGCCTCCCCTTGGCCTCCCCTTGGCTGGAGACTCATTCTATGGAGGCCCCACACTCCAGGTGGTTCTGGTCTGTGGAGGAGCTTTATTTAGAAACCTATCGGTTGAGTGATGCCATTATTTTCTGTCCTTGTTTCCTTCTCGATCAAGCAGGTCATCCCAAGGGAAAGTCAGCTAAACGCGAATAGCCCCCATGATGATGGGTTGTCACAGCGGAGGGACTGCCCCACTCGGGGATAGCCGCGCACGGGGACAGCCGCRCACGGGGACAGCCGCGCACGGGGACAGCCCCGCTTGGCGGTTGCTGAAGGGGGAGCCTCTGGTGCACTGTGGCAGCAGGAAAGCTCTCCGCAGTCCAAGGTGTTCTCACGGACTTCCTCATTTGCACGTGGCTTTTACTGGGAGAGGACATGGCGTAGTGTTTGTGGTTTGAGGGGCCTTTGTGGCTTTCTTTTTTTGGGGGTGCTGGGCTGCCCCCCGGGGCTGCACCCACCCTGAGTCTCTGATGTCTAAAGGGCAGCTGTTCCCGGCCTCTGTGACTCTGGGGCCTCCTGGGAGGACCACCGTGCAGCTGTGGGGCTGGGCAGGGAGGTGGCTGGAGCGGCCTGGGCCGCGCCCGGCTGGGCTCTTGTTCTGGGGAAGTCTTTTCCTGGGCTGCTGTCCCCGAGCGGCCACTTCTGCAGTCCGCCTTCTGGGGAGCGTTTCATGACACTGCCGCTGGCTCGGCCACCCTGGGACTTGGCCTTGTCCCTCAAGGGCTGGAGAGGAGTCACATCTGTGGCTGGAGGGGGAGCTGGCTGCTGGCCCTGCCCTCGGGGGACCAGCCACGTTCTCCCTGGGCTCCTGGGTGAGGCCTCGTGCTCTGGTCCTGCTGCTGCGGGCAGCTCTGCTGGACGGTGGCCCATCTTCTTGAGAGGCCACAGAGGGTGGCCCTGGCTTTGGTGCTGTCCAGGGAGGTGCGACGTCCGTATCCTAAAACCCAGCCGCTGTGAGCAGAGTCCCCAGGTGCGGCAGGTGACCGAGTTGGCAGCTGTTCCTGGAAACCGCCCCAATGAGAAGCCCTGTCCCCAAGAGCAGCCCTCGTCCCTCCGCCCTGCTCCCGTGGGTCCACATCCGTCTCTGGACTCTCTGTCCTGGACGTCCCCTATGTGGCCTGTGTGTCTGGCTGTCACGGAGCATGAGGTCCT